CCTATTAATTATTTTTAAAACTACTGTTGAAAAATTACTCCATTACAAAGCCTAATAGAAAATCTGGTAGCAAACATAAAGAAATCTAAGTCATTTATAATAAAAGGCAATAATATGGATATGGTAGATATTGTGTGTATCCACATGTATGTGCAAATGTGTGAAACCTAAGGAATTGCATGGATTAGGCCATGTGTTTGTTTAATTATTTCCAATTTATGAAACTTGATTCTTCACATTTAAAATTCTGTCACCAAAGAATCGATCTTTCTTTGCATCCCCACAGTTTCTCACAGCTGGTGCACTTCTGCCTACTAGGAACTCCTCTAAGTAGTGGGTGATTTAAAATCTGATTAATACTTGCCTCTTTTCTATATTTAGTCACTTTTCTGACTTAAAATTAATTGCCTACTGAAGAGGGACAGTAGGCTAAAAGTTAAATGTTTCCTTGTAGAATATGGAAATATTCAATAGTTATCACAGTGAGTATCTATGATAGAAGATTGAATGATCTCATGTAACTTTGAAATATGATTTACCATCTTAGTAATACACAAATAAAAATTAGGAGAGCTGTTAAATATATTTCCTCTATTGTGGAAAAGATCAAAGAAATCACATCAAAATCCATTATAGAAGCTCTATATATGGTCTGTTCCGAGGTAGTTGTGTTGTAAGTTAGGAAACCTACTGGGTTTATTAGAGGCCATTTCAATCAGGAAATACAAAATTTAGTTGTAAAAACCGATACTGCTGGAAGCTATTCTTTTAAAAGACAACCAAACAAACAACACTATATAAAGACAAAGGGCTGAGATTACAGGACTATCCATTAACTCTTGAAAGGCAAATTTCTGTTATTGGTAGTTTACCTGATTGTGTATTTATTCTGAGCTATGCATTCACTCTAGCATTCAGTCATTTCAATTCAGGTGATCCCCCAGGCGGGAGTTCCCTAAATAGAAGAGCTATGTATTGCTTACTCCTGTTTTGCTGTTGAAAAAGGTAAGGCTTAGAGAAGTTAAATAGCTTGTCCAGAATGATACTTCGTGACAGATAGTTGGATCAGCACTATGCAAAACAATTTTCTGCATTGATGGAAATGTTCTGTATCTGCACTGCCCAATTTGGCAGACACCATCCCCATGGGGCTAATGAGCATTTGAAATATGAATAGGCCGACTAAAGAACTGAATTTTAATTTCATTTAATTTTAATTAAATTAAAATACCTCCCATAGGGCTTGTGGCTACTGTATTGAACAGCACAACTCTAGAATCTTCCTAAAATGCTCTTAATCACTATACCATATACTTCTCCAGTTCAGCCCTCCCAATCAAAGGACACAATAAAAAAATATTAAGTAAATAGTAAGACGGTATAACAGTGTAAATTACTCAGATACAGAGTATTAAAAGTAGTTTGATTATCCAGGGATAGATCTGTGATCTGTGTCCCATGGAAACTTAAGAGACTCTTTTTCTCCTATATCTAGAAAACTGGCTGTCACAAAGCAGTAGCCTTGTGTCTAAGATCCCAATTCTAATGTCATTTTATTTTATTTTTTGGTTAAATTATATTCACTCATTCTGTACCTTCATTCTTCCTTCATACCCCCAGTCTTTATGCTTATTGATCCCTTGAGATAGAAGTAAACAAGAATGTACACTCCTTTGTGAGTGCTTTGGCCAAAACTCTGAATATCTCCTAATCCTGGTTGATCACTTTGGCCATTTAGATCCTCAATTTTTTTTCCTTTGCAAAAAAGGGAGTTGAAATAAATGATGGCATAGGTTCCTTCTATATAAAAAACTCAGTTTTTCTAAGATCCTATGGTAGTGATGCTCTGTAGTAAATTATCTCTTTTTTTTTCTAGTAAATCCTTGCATTGTAAAATTACATGGGCAAGGTCCCAGTTTTCTTGAAAATAAAACAAGAATTTCTAGAAAGTCATCTAGCTTTTCTAGTCTTTTGAGCAGCATTATTCCTTCCTTTTTCATGTTCTTTTGTAATGGGTTAAGCTAAACAGTTAACATGCTCAGGTCCTAGAATGCAAAAGGGAAAAAAAAAAGCTATCTGAACTTTACTTTGAGATTTTATTTCACAGACAATATACTGAAAGATTAACAGCAAAGGACCTAACACTGAGCTTACACAGATACAGTTTACCAACTTACAGTGTCTGATCCCCAAGCCTGCTGACACAGAGGAGAGGGGGCCATCCAAAGTTGAGGGGCGCACCAAAGGAAATTTGAAACTTCAGTCACCTGAAAAACTTATTACATCTCTATGTATAAACTGCCCTATAACTAGCCAGTGAACTTCAGCTAAGTCCATATTTCTTTGCCCTTACTGTATTGCTTAGCCAATAAACATATTTTTGAACTCAAGTGTCCATTGTGTAAATCAGTGTTTTGAGCCTGCAAGTGTACCACATACTGATTTTTGTGGTGTATCTATCTCCCCCCTGCGCTGCATACCTCTGGCCTTCTACCTGCAGTGTGTGGTAGGGTCACCTGAAGCTGTATAAAAAATGCAGTGCCTAGGTCCCCACCTCACAGGGAGTACGACTGAGGCCCTGAGCACAGTTGTTGAAGTGCTCCCCATGTTACCCTGGTTTATGCCAGAGGTTCAGGAACAAAACACCATGTGAGTTCTTGACAGTAAAAGAGATGGCCTATTGATTGGGCTTATACCACCTCACAACTAGACTGTGATAACTTGATGGAAGTATTATCAGGTTCTGTTTTTTCAAAATTTAGCATTGATTAGCATTTGTGTTTGTGATAGCAAATATCACTCAAAATTATTCAACTAAATCATCTCATCATTACTGAGAACTTAAAATGTCTAAGAAATACGATCCAAAATGTAGAAACCCTAAGAAGTACTTGATTTATTTACTTGTTCTTGAAAGAATTTGTGACTTATGAAAATTGGATGTTCTCATTTTGTCTCATCCTTGGATCACCAAAAATCTTAAAATCATTTGTCAGTATTTTGACAGTGTAATATTTCATCTTATTTCATGATGTTTCAATTCTTCAAATTTGTTATTCATCAAAGCTGTCGTTAGTTTTGTTTATGTTATCTTCTAGGTTTTAAAATAATTTCTGATGCTCATTTATTTATGCTAGTAGCATTATTGCACATTACTTGGTATATCTTAAATGTAATATTGAGTTTCTTATGCTAGATTTTCCAATTTATTATACCAAAAATCAGTGCACAGCACATCCCTTCTAGATGATACACACTTAGCTCCTAATGTCATTACTGACAATTATTATGCAAGAGTATCTTTTTAGAGCCCATAATGGAGAGGCATTGAAAATGCATTGGGCCAGGAGAATAGGCAGAGACATGTAGTAGTCAGGGCACTACTCCCCTTCAAAAGGTATACGTTCAGTCCAAGGTAAGAGTTCTTATGAGTATCATCTACGCTATACTTGAGTGGCCTTTCATGTGTGCTTTTTGTCTCTTGACCTCTGTGTTTATAACTCTTAGAGAAGGAAAATATGGGAAAGGCATGCCTACTTTTATGCCTTTGGAGATGATATGGATCATTTCCATCCTAAGACCACAACTATCTACAAGAATCTGGGAAATGTAGTCTAGCTGCATTCCCAGAATTAAAAAAAAAATAGATTTGATGAACTCCTAGCAGTCTCCACAGCAGTCCTATTTCTGCCATGAGTGAACTCTGACTTGGCAAGGCTTCTTTAAAAGTAAAAGTGTCAGGGCCCTCCCTGGTGGCGCAGTCAGTTAAAGCACAGCGCTGAGAATCTGAGGCCGCTTCTGCATGAGTTCGATTCCGGCCTGCCCTGGAGGTGACCACATGGCATGGCAGACCTCTCCTGACCCGCCCGCTGCTCCCCTCAGCAGTATGCTTCTGTTGATCTGCCTGTTCTGTTCCCCGCTCTGTCTCTGGTGAAGCCTCTCGCCGCCCCTGAGCCTCTGGCCTGCACCCCAGTTCTGTATGCACAAATAAATAAATAAATCTTTAAAAAAAAAAAAGTAAAAGTGTCAGTGGCATTTTCTTTTTTGGTAAGGTTTTAGATACTTATATTCAGAAAATTCTCTTAAGATATAGCAAGGCTTGATTCAGTGAAGGATTTAAAAGAGATCTGATGAGAAGTGAGAACTAAATTATGACACAGTGGGTGGTGTAGTTGATTGCATAACCAGCAAATGTTAATTGCTTTACTCAGGTGATTTTGGAGAAGATACCTTGCAGGGTGGGAGGGGATTTAGGACTTTTATTCTAAGTCCTAATCTTTTCACTTTTCACCATTTCTATGAGTGAATCTGAAAAACATACAGCTAATGTTCTTCAAATTATAATTTGAAAATTTCACATAATTTCTAAATACCTGGATTGGATCATCAAATTCCTTTAACCTGTAATGTAAGTAATAGGTTACCTGGGCTTTTGAAGACTAATCAGAAAAATCAAATGATTTTTTATAAAACACCACTTTACAAAATGTTTTTGTATTCTAAACAGTTATAAATGAACTATGGTACATAGTCCTTTTTTAAATGAAGGTTGACTTGGATTTATCTCTCCAAAATACATTGCCTTCCTGCCTTAAAGTAATGATCTCTTATGCCCTCAAGTATAATCTTTGGAGAGTTGACTATCATTATGAATACAACAATACATCTCTTTTTCAGCAGAGATGTGTTGACCAGAGAAAATACCGCAAAAATGTGCATAATATGACATTTATTCCCTATATATATACTAATATCTATACATATTATATGTAGATATAATTAATTTAGCTGTTAGTTAATCCATCTCATTCAGTCATAATGTTTGTAAAACACATTGATATGATCGTACTGATGTTTTTAAATAATAAAATTACGATTTTTGGAAATACCTGGTAGCACTGATTATTGCCATTACATTTAAAGGTTTTTAAAGGGATTCATGGGAAAGATCTTTTCATTGCAACAGTGATATTTCAACCCTTGTTTCTCTTTCTTTTCAGGACTTCCAATAGCAGTCAGACATTATCATCCTGCCATACTATGGAGCCATGTTCATCAGATGAATTTTTCCAAGCCCTTAATCATGCTGAGCAAACCTTTAAAAAGATGGAAAACTATTTGAGGCATAAGCAATTATGTGATGTAATTCTTGTTGCTGGTGATCGCAGAATTCCAGCTCATAGGTAATTGTTTTCTGAATTTCTATATGTGACTTATTTCTTCGAGGATTTAATTACCTATGTTGAAGTGACTCATTCTAGTTGAAAATTATGATGGAATGCTTTTGGGAAAAGGTACATTTTATGGACTCTCTACAAAGAATACAATACATAATGAATTTGTCACATATTAAATGACCCCAGAAGAATCACTTTTCCTCTTTAGAAGCACAAAACTAAATGCACTAGCTTCAGACCAGTCAGAATTGTTTGGTATAGATTTCAGCTACTATAAGCAGTTTTCATCCTACCTAATTCCACTTATTAAATACCTTTAAATAAACTCAATTGTTAGTATGTAGAAGCAAAAATGATAATGCTGTGATATGGCAAACACTGTTAAGAGTTTTAAAAGAGGCACATCTATCCCAACTTCTTCTGTTTGACGCCCTTTAAGGAATATGAGAAACAAAGCTAAGGAAGGAATGTCTTTAACGCAAGTGGAGTATTATTTCTTGAAGGAAAAGAAGCTATTTAATAAGGAACAATTATTGTAGTCTGATCACTCTATATTCAGTTGATCAGTAATAATCAGCATTATGATCTCATTAATGTCCCTTGTAACTAACTGACACTCTGTCCAAAAGATTTTGTTAAACCCTCCAAAATAGAAGTAAATTCATTAGGAAGAACGGGCTTGATCTTAGAATCTTGATTGATTCAATCAACATAGATTTATTGAGATCCTGCTATATCCTGTGACAAAAAGTTAACTAGAATGCCCAGGTTTTTTAGAATAGATAGTACAACCTGAATTTTATAGAGACATCTCAAATTCTGTATTTCTAGAACAGAACTCATAACCTTACCTGCCCCCTTGTCACTTAGATTACAATGCAAGAAACTCATGGCCTCCCTGCCTTCGCTCTTTCCTCCTACATTCTGTTTTCTGCACAAACCTGAGTGATCCTTTAAAGGAAAATTCAGGTCAGATTTTGCAGTGACCCCTCATTTCTCTGAGTGTGAAAGTCCTGTGGGCTGTATGATCCAACCTGCTATCACTTCTAACAGTAGCTTCCCTCACTCACTTTGGGGAGTCAGTCACACAGACCTCCTCTCCTTTGTTATTCTTGTATGTATCAGGCCTGCTGCTCCTTCTGGCTGAGTACTACTCCTAGATATCTATAAGATGACTAATTTCCTGTATATCCATCAAGTGTTTGCCTATTGTCATCTTCTAGTGAGACCACTTTTTTAAACCTACCACCCACTCCTTATTTGCACTTACCCTACTTTTTCCCTATAGCACTTATTTTAAATGTACTGTAACATTTACTCATGTTTATTGTCTTCCTTCGCTCCCAGCTGTAAGATTTCCATGGGGAAAAAAAGGGGTCATTTGTCTATTTTGCATGCCTGTGTAGCGCAAGTCTCTAGGATAGTGCCCAGTGCTTATTAGTTGCACATCAGTATTTGTTCAGTGAATAAATAAATGAACAGGCAGTTCTCAGAAAAGAAACCTGAAAGGTCAGTAAACATTTGAAAAGATTTTCAACTTCACTAGCTATCAAATAAATGAAAATTAAAACAACGAGATGCCATTTAACACCTTTCAGATGGCCAAAAATGTGAACATCTGACAATATTTAGGGAAATGTTAATTATTATACACTGCTGGTGGGGGTCTAAAGAAGCACAGCATCTTGGAGAGTAATTTGGCAAACCTTCTGACTAAGTAGAGCTTCCAAGGGAGCAGGTGATGGAATTATAAAGGAAAATTGGAGCTTTGACAATTACTTGTGTCATCTATTTCTTTAAAAAAATAGTTTCAGTAAATCTCTGTAAGTGAGCTGACAGGGAATAATCTTCAAAACATTATCAAGTGAAAAATGCATGTCTCAAATAAGTATTTACAGCCAGTTTTTATGTATATGTGATCAAAAGTCTAGAGAGCGAGAACTAACAGCATAATATGCATATTATATTGTATGCTAATATGTTTATATAATATTAATATAATCTAATTTTATGACATAATGTAATGGTTGAATGTCTGATAAATTTTAAAATAACCTAAAATTATTTTCAAATTTCCCCCAGGAAATCACTACCTACACAATTAAATAAAAAACATAACAGGTTATTTTCAAAAGTGAAGAAATTAGCCTTACATGTTTTCTTTTTCTTTTTTATGTAGTCAGTTTAACAGTGTAGGCTTGGAGTTTGTTTTTTTTTTTTGTTTTTTTTTTTCCTGGATATTATAAACCAGTATTTGAGTAGTGAACAGGTAAATAATTTACCTCAGCAGAAAATTTGTAGTAATGGCAATTTATTATTCAGAGGAAGGAAGTAGAGCATGAAGTAATTTGTCAAACTTAAAAATGCATTTTCCATTACTATGCAGTTTCTATGGTGTTTAGTTTAGTTTGGTTTTTTTTTTTTAAGAGAGAAAGGAAGAAGTGGTATTTTATTAGTGAACATCAACTTTATTGTGGTCATTGATTTTTTTTTCTTCTAATATCTTAACAGATTGGTGCTCTCCTCAGTCTCAGATTATTTTGCTGCCATGTTTACTAATGATGTCAGGGAAGCAAGACAAGAGGAAATTAAAATGGAAGGTGTAGAACCAAATTCACTATGGTCCTTGATTCAATATGCATACACAGGTAGTAAATCTGAAATTGTAAATTAAAAACCTCCTAGATTTATGTTATATTGTTAGATTTCAGATTTCTGCTTTTTTTTTTTTTTAAAGATTTATTTATTTATTCATATAGAACTGGGGTACAGGCCAGAGATGCAGAGGGTGAGAGGCTTCACCAGAGACAGTGGGGAGCAGAACAGGCAGATCGAGGAAGTACACTGCTGAGGGGAGCAGCGGGTGGGTCAGGAGAGGTCTGCCACGCCATGTGGTCACCTCCAGGGCAGGCGGGAATCGAACTCATGCAGAAGTGGCTTTAGCTTCTCAGTGCTGTGCTTTAGCCCGCTGTGGCACCAGGGAGGGCCACAGATTTCTGCTTTTAATAAAATGCTGCAGCTAACAGTTAATTCTGTTGTTGGAATACCTATCCGTTGGCAACTGTACAGGTTAAGACCTCTGTATTAGAACCTTTAAAATATTTATCACATTTAGACTTTTGCATGGGATCTCAAAGTGCTACTAAAATAACCATAGCTTGATGAATTTAGTAATTTTTTTATGTAGTGCATTTAAAAGTTGAAAGCAGTATATAAGTTACGAATTACTGTTACTTGAAAATACACTTTTTAACTTTAGTAGGTATCATGAAGAACTAATAAATATTTGAAGTGTCTTTAGCCATGTAGGTCTAGAAAACATGTCCCATGCAATACAGTTTTTGTTTAGAATTATTGCTTTTAACACCAATTATTTTACATACTAAGGTTTATAAAATTACATTGTTAATGGAATTTCTTTTTACCATTAAGGCCGCCTTGAATTAAAAGAAGATAACATTGAGTGCCTGTTATCGACAGCTTGCCTCCTTCAGCTTTCACAGGTTGTGGAAGCATGCTGTAAGTTTTTAATGAAACAGCTTCACCCATCCAACTGTCTCGGAATCCGTTCCTTTGCTGATGCCCAAGGTTGTACGGATTTGCATAAAGTGGCTCACAATTACACTATGGTAAGTACTTATTAAAAATCAGGAAGGCATATATATGCTTTTTGCTTTGTTTCTCTATGTTGCATGCTTTTCTGTATGTTACTTCTTTCCCGTGGCCTTGCCACATGTCTCAAGGTTCAGGTTTACTATCCAGTGTTTCTTGTTTTCATTGAGTCATGAGGGGTAAACACCCAATATTATTTCTGCTGGATTTGTGAGTCAAGCCTTAAGACTGTCACTAAGAAGCAGAGCAGTGGCCTAAGACTATTCATTCACAATTTTCAGGTCTGCTGCTTTCTAAAGCAGGATTTCCCCTAAACATCTTCTTTGTAGCACCTGGGTGAATTTCAGAGTTGCCTACATATTTGCTGTGGGAAATCGGACATAGTGATTGTGCTGTGTTGCTGCAGTATTGGTAAAAAGATAGGGAAAGGAAAGGTAGGCTTTTTTTCATTATTATCTTCCATCAAGGTAGCATTTTATATTTTGGAAGTATAGGATCCCCACTTCCACTGATGTTACTATAGCATTCCCACCACCAAAGCAACACAGTCCATCACCAAAGCACTCTTAGTCCACCACCAGAGTTCATTTTGTCCCTCCACACTTTGTGCTTGCCCCTTCCCCTTTTCCTCCCTCTCTGAATGCTTCAGTTCTATTATGAGAGGCAGCATGGCTGGAACTGGAGGAGATCACACTAAGCAAAATGAATCAGAAAAAACACAAATATGAGAGAGTGTCACTTATATGTGGAAAACAGAGAACCACACAAAGGGCTGTAAAAGGCACACAAAAACTAGCACTCAAAAGGTAGGCTTTTTAAAGGAAAATCGGATTAAATGTAAGAAGTGTTTTTAGCTATGTAGAACAATGATCTTATTAGTTGTGGCAAATTAGGTGCTGAAAGTAAAATCACAGTGGGGGTTCTGATTCAGAAGCCTAGAGGATAATGAATACATGTTCATCCAGGGCAGCAAGGGAAAAGGGGCTTCTTGAGAGTATACTGTTTAGCCCCAGTCTCCAGCAATCTTAGCAGTGGGGAGGTTTAGGGAGGGAGGGTGTATGCCTTTTTTTTTTTTTTTAAGATTTATTTATTTATTCATACAGAACTTGGGTGCAGGATGACAGAGGTGCAGGGGTGGTGAGAGGATTCACCAGAGACAGAGTGGGGAGCAGACTGGCAGATCGACAAAATGCACTGCTGAGGGAAGCAGCGGGATGGGTCAGGAGAGGTCTGCCATGTCATGTGGATCACCTCTGGGGCAAGGGATCGAATTCGCACTGAAAGAACTGTGGCCAGCTAACAGTGCTGCGTCCTAACCTGTTGCACCACCAGGGAGGGCCCAGTATATGCATTTTTTAAGATAATCATCTTGCCACATTGTGAAAGTTAGATTTTCATACCTGGATAATGTGAAGACAGCTGTTTTAAATTTTTCAGTTGAGGCCCTCCCTGGTGGTACAATGGGTTAGGACACAGCACTGCAAGTGAGCCGCAGCCACTTCAATGCGAGTTCAATCCCAGGCCCCCGGGAGGTGACCCACATGCCGCAGCAGACCTCTCCTGACCTGCCCGCTGCTCCTCTCAGCAGTGTACTTCATTGATCTGCCTGTTCTGCTCCCTACTCTATGTCTGCGGAATCCTCTCACTGCCCCTGTACCTCTGGTCTGTATTCCAGTTCTGTATGAATAAATTAAAAAATAATAATAAATCTTTAAATGTTTCAGTTGGGATAATACAGCTCTAAGAGATAAAAGAAAGCATGTGATCATTCACATAAACATTTATATTACTAATTTCATCAACATTTAAGACTGTCTAGCCTCTTTTCCATCCCTCTTGCTTCCCCTAACTTGATTTATCTGTAAGGGAATTGACAAAAATGAACAATGATGAAATATATATATATGTATGTATATATATATATATGTATGTATATATATATACATATATATGTATTTAGAAGATGAGCAATATGGAAAAATTGTGAGGATATTTTCAACTATTGAAAAGATGAATTCTACTCACTGTATAAGTTTGATATGAAAATTAATTTACAAAAGTTTAACACTTAAGACAGTGATTGGCATATTGTATACCCAGTCAATAAGTGATACCATCACCATTAAATAAATTACCATGTGAGTGAACAAAAACACTCATATAAAAGAATAACCTTTTATGATTCTTTTTTACCCCTGTAGTACAGTTACTCTAGAAATGTTTCTTGCTTATGTCAAGCATAGTGCTGTAAGTGAAAAAAAAAAAAAAAAAACAGAGAATATGACCCAGGACAATAGTACTGTACAGATCAGCATGGTTTGGGGTTAATATCTTTAAATAAATCCTTTGAAAGATTTCTTCCCTTGGTCTTTGTTCTTCCTTGTACATTTCTCATTTTTACTTTATACTTCAGGTTCAAATACTTCTTTGGAATAAGGTTAATATAGATAAAATAAAGCTGGGTTTTCCCCCTTGTAATCAGTTCATAAACTAACCTCTCTTTCCTAGGAAGAAGTTCTATATATATGAAATAATTTGTATGCATTTAGGTCACTCCTATTGTTTACAGAAAAGGCACAGTTGCTGCTATAAGCTTAGACATAAATTAAATTTAGTGTAATGTTTTTAAAACTATTTTCATAGCCAATTAGTTATGGTAGTTTTTTTCTCAGTGCCATTATTTGACATTATTCAGTTTCGGTAGAGACATGAAATTGAATTCTAATAGCAATAAGTAATTTAGAGGCAGATTGTCGATTTGAATGTTGCTATGGGAACTGAGTAAAAATGTATAGTGAAAATCAATCTTCAATTTAAATAAATCCCTCAGTAATTTCATTTGCTTAAAAAGTATTCTAAAGGGAAAAGGGCATAATGCTAACACGTGTTTGGTAGTATGATAGCTTTTGTACCCTAAAATGGATTTAAAATAGCAAGCACAATGCTGCAGGTGCATTCAGTTGTCACAGTGACTGTACCTGGGGTACTCACTCAATAAGGAGTTCCTTCTTATAATCCTAAAATCTAGAAGCTTTTATGTTCTCATTTTGGATTGCTATTGAATATGAGCTAGAACAAGTCATTAAACTTTAAACATTTAACTTTAAAATTAAAATTTGTTGATCCAGAAAAAAATCTAAAAACATTAAATTCTGCTAAAATATTTGCTTCAAAACTAAACTCTTATTTTTTTTAAAGACTTATTTTTTTTTATTATACATACAAGAACTGAGGTGTAGATCAGTGGTACAGGGGGTGAGAGGACTCACCAGAGACAGTGGGGAGCAGAACAGGCAGATCTATTGAAATACATTGCTGAGGGGAGCAGCAAGTGAGACAGGAGAGAGAGGTCTGCTGTGCCATGTGGGTAGCTCCCTTTCTGGGGATCAAATTCTCGCCTCTATAGGGCTGAGACTTTAACCCAAAAACTAAACTATTGTTTTTGAAAAGCACTTTGTGTCTGAACTTGAGTTCAGTAGTCTTGCCAAAAGTTGTTAAAAACCTAATTTTCATTTAATATAAATTATGCTAGAATGGAATAGACATTATCTAAAGTAAATATATCAACAAATTAAAAAAATCAAATCAATATAGAGTAATTCTTTTCTCTTTAGTGAAATGCAATGAATACCATTTGAAAGTATGGCAGGAGTTACATCAGTATTGCATAGGCATTGACTGTACAGTACACAATGCCTTTGCACAATTAAAAATGTGTATTTTAATTTTTCAGAACTTCACCTAACAATATATAATGAATATCTTTCTGTGTAGCTAGTGATCTCAGTCCTTAACATTTTTAATGCCTCCACAGTAGTCCATTGAATTACAACCCCCTATAGTTTGCCACTTATGTAATTTTCAGGTTTTTTATTCCTATATATAATAATACAGAAGTATCACTACAGAAGCAGTGAGATCCGCCCTCTCCAGGAATTATATATTAAGGATTAAACTAGTAGGATAACTGGTTTGAGAGCTTCAATATTTTTATAGTTCTTGCTGTGTGCTACCAAATCATTTTATAATATCAGTGTACAATTGAGTAGAACAGTTAGCTTGAAGCCACTGCAGTATTGAGGTTTTATTAAAATGTATTTCTGAAAATGATAATTAGTCATTTAAAACAGATTTATTTGGTCATTTTTAACAAACCATGATGAATTGAAGCAATTGAATTTAGTTAATTATTCATGTATGGTTTTCCTCCTAAGACTTTCTATAGAAAGGAATGCTAACCCAAGATACATTTTAGATTAGGACCTAATTTGAGTTACTGCAGACTATATGGAATATATAATTCTCATTTTAATATAGAAATATTCTATATTAAAACCTTAATAGCTTTTTCTAAAAATCTGTATGTTGAGACAGTGATGCACATTCAGAAGTATAAGAAAAACATTAAAGCACAATTTCTAATATTTGCATTATTATAACTATACGTTATCCATGCATTAATACTTATAACCTTGCACACAGGAGGGTAAGAGTGTATGTTTAGCATAAATGCCTAATAAAGGTCATTATCTCACATCTAAGGACATTTCATTCCCCATTTACAAATTATAGGGGACCTGATTCTAGTTTAGAGCCAGGCCAGAATCATCTTCAGTCTAAAGTGCTGAAGTCTTATTGTATTCTAAGTCAACACTTCTGTCTTGTTCCTTTTTTTTTTTTTTTTTTTTAAGATTTATTTATTTATTCATACAGAACTGGGGTACAGGCCAGAGGCTCAGGGACGGTGAGAGGCTTCACCAGAGACAGAGCAGGGAGCAGAACAGGCAGATTGACGAAGCACACTGCTGAGGGGAGCAGTGGGCGGGTCAGGAGAGGTCTGGCTCGCCATGTGGTCTCCTCCGGGGCAGGCGGCAGGCGGGAATCGAACTCATGCGGAAGTGGCTTCAGATTCTCAGTGCTGTGCTTTAACCCGCTGCGCCACCACGGAGGGCCTCTGTCTTGTTCCTTTTCCTGTGAGACAAAAGCAATCGGTATACCAATCATATGTGAAGAGATTAAAGTTTTCCAAACAGGCCTAATAGCCTGAGTATCTAAAAATGATAACATTACAACACTGAAAAGGCCAGCTTGGTTCTAGGGTAGCCCTAGGACATGTATCCTTCCCAGGCAGTCTGAGAAAGACTTCTGTTGTACAGAGCAGTCTTGGGAAATCTAGCCAGCTGGGAGGCCATTGCAGGGTAAGATAATAACTTCACAGGTGGCCCAGGTATTTGGGTCCATGTTGGCCAGTTCTTCAGTCACCACAAGTTTAAACTAGCTTTTGATCTTAAAATAGCATGCATTCACCTTTTCTATCTTCCTTTGAAAGATTTGCCAAATTATTCCTAACATGGGCAAAGCGTCACCCAGAGTCCCAGGTGCACTTAAAAATATATAATAAATAGCACTTTACTATACTTGTATAGAAATTTTAAAACTTCAGCTGCCTAAGTGCAATTTAAACGTTATTTTCTACTGTATTTCTTTCCTAGCAAGAAGTAATAAATCATAAGAAAAGTCTATTGCATAAGTTGTGTTTTGGCATCTAATTCAAAAGATCTGTTAAGATGAGCAGAAGGAACAACATTGCCTATATGCTATTTTTCCCCTTTAGGAGCATTTCATGGAAGTCATTCGAAACCAAGAATTTGTATTATTACCAGCCAGTGAAATTGCAAAGCTCTTGGCCAGTGATGACATGAACATTCCTAATGAGGAAACAATATTGAATGCACTTCTTACTTGGGTCCGTCATGATTTGGAACAGAGACGGAAAGATCTTAGCAAACTTTTGGCTTATATTAGACTACCTCTTCTTGCACCACAGGTAAACTATTTTTGGTTATTTAAAATCATTATAATAGCTTTAACAATAGTATGTTAAGTATATTAATTTATAGTTGTATGTAGCCTTTTTTTCTTTGTCCTATTAGAGAATTTTACATGTATTCTTATGAAATGTATAGGGAAAAGATATCCAGCTAAAAAACAATTCTGCTTACATTTTCAGTCCAGAAGATCTGGGTATCTAAATTATATTAAATAACACTGTTGACTAGGTCAATGTTTTGTCTCAACTGCAAACAAGTGAAGCCTAGCAAGTAAAAGACAATTAGTAAAGCTGCTGATAAAAGAAAAACTGGCCTCTGGAAACCAGATAATTTGGATGAGTTCATTTGCCATGTGTTCATTAAATATCCACAAACTGCTAGATACCACTGATAATGTAAATTATTAAGACATGATAATAGCTCCAGCCCTAAGATATTAAAATCCTGTGACTTGTTAAATTCACACATCTCAGTCTGTTCATCCATGGAGAGGGCATAATATTTTCTCTGTCTCACCGGATGTGAGGATCAGAAAAGTGCTCTGTGAAATAAAATGTGCTATAAATAATGATGATATCATCATGACCACCAGTGCATTCAGTGATACATATCTATATACGCAGTTTTCTCTTCATACAACTTTGACTAGAATAGCAAAAATTTCTCCTCAATACTTTGCTGCTTATCTTGATACATTGGATAGAGAAAGGAGACTTGAAAGTTGAAAAATTTGGAATCATTACTTCTCGAGGTCAGATTTCTTTTTAGTGGCTAAAGTGCTATAAAGTTTGTTTTAATTTGTATTTACCTTGAGGCATGTGTATTATTTCCAGCTGTTTTGAGAAAAGTTACTGTTTACCATCTACCTCCAGATAAACATCAGGTCTGCTGGTGGTGGCAGACTACAGTGCCTCAGTGGTGGATGTGGCATGGTGCCACACATCTGAAGAGGTGTGCCTCTGAACCACGTGCAGTTTTGTAAACCAGTGCAGCCTCAATAAAGATAGTGCAGCCTAATAAAGGGTCCCAGGGAAAAAAATACCAGTGTTGATACATTCATAATAAGGAAGACATCCCTCTTCATGGGTGGCACAGCGGGTTAAAGCACAGCACTGTGAGGCTGGCTGAGGCCGCTTCAGTGAGAGTGTGAGTTGGATCCCCGCCCCAGAGGTGACCCACATGGCCTGGCAGACCTCTCCTGTTTCCCCCATTGCTCGCCCCAGCAGTGTACTTCATCAGTCAGCCTGTTCTGCTCCCCACTCTGTCTGGTGGATCCTATCACCGCCCCTGCATCTCTGGCTGTACCCCAGTTCTGTATATGTAAATAAATAAATCTTTAAAAAAAAAAAAGACATCTCTCTTCAGAGAGAGAATGCTATATGAATTCATAGAAGTGAAACCACGTTTAAATATTTCTCTTGAAATCACATTTAAAGAGGAGAGTTATATTTTTACTGATACCTAAGAGAATTCTTTTTTCTCCTAGTCTAGATGAAAAAAATAAAATCTGAAAATCTTTATAGCCTGTGAAAAGAATCTATGCAATTAAATGTGATCATTTACCTCAACTGCAATTTCAGATATTTATAGAACAAGACTTAAATGACTCCCAGAAACCTCTAAGGTTTCTGTTATCCAGGATGCTGCTGGCAGTGATAGCCACAAGAACTTAAGAGTTGACAGGCACATTTAGTTTACAGCCCCCCAAAGTGGAACCATTAGTCCAGAATCACAAAATGATTGCCTACATTGCTGTCCTCCTGTATTGTAGTTTACTGGACTTTGCTGTTTACTAATGTCAGAGAGATATTAAGGGGCAGAGGTGGGACTTAAGCTCAAGTAGGCTTCTGTGCCTCTGGCATGGAACCCTCCTGCCTCTCACTGTGTGGAAATATGCCAAGGGAGGAGGGGCAGCTGTCAGGTGCAGGAATAGATTAGGAAAGAAATAAGGCATTACAGTACAATGAGATGAAAGCTGTGATAGATATATGAGCATGACATTACGAAATAATCAGAATGGTCCCCCCAAGACTGATGATGGAGAAGCTGGAAGAACTGCCTGCAGTGTCTTCCATCTGCAGTCCAAGTTAGCTAACTGAAGCAGGGGGTGGGGGTGAGAGCCCAGGAGAGATGGGAGATTGTGTCTAATTACGGAGTCATGAGCAAATATATTGTGTTCTGAAATTTGAAGATAGCTAGCCTGGCTAAAGTGCAGAAATAATAGGGCAGTGTTGAAAGAGGAGCCTAGAGAGGAAGAAACAGACCATATCCTGAAGAATCTCCAGTCATACCACAGAGTTTGTATTCTATCCTAAGAACAATGAAGAAGCACTGGAAGATTTTAAAATAGGAGATGACTTGATTATCATTTTATTTTTGAGAGCTCTTATAACTGCATTGCGGAGAAAAGATTGGAGAGAGCAGAATCCATTAGGAAGGCTAAAGGACTCAGATAAGTTAACACACTCTGGCAGTGGAAATGGAAAAATGACCAGGTTCAAGAGCTATTTGGTAGTAGAATTGACACATCTTAGTGACCGGCTGAGTGGCACGAGGTACCAGAACAAACAACAAACAGACAAAAATGGGGGTCCAGAGTGACTCTGATTTGTGCATCTAGGTTAATGAAGGTACTATCAATTAAGACAAAGAGTACAGGTGGACAGGTTAATTTTGAAGGTAGAAAAGAAATTGGAAGAATCATGTTTCCAGAACTTCTTGACACTTTAATGCTCAGTCTAAGAAGAAATGAAAAGCTTTAGGTTGTTTAAACCACAGGGAAGGGGGGAAAAAGCCACAGACCAAGGAGAAAAGAGCACTTGGGGTGGCACCCTAGAAACATTAGCATTTAGTGGTACATCCTAAATAGCTGTAGTGCTATTAAAAAGAGTTTCCAAGTTCATAAGGAAGGAATTTTAACATCATCAGATACCACAAAGGACACATAAGAACAGAAATCCACTGGGTAAGCTCAGTGCTTCTCAAAGTATGATTCCCAACTACAGGATCAGCATAACCTGGGAGTGTTTAAAATGCTACTCACAGACTTCCTGGTGGCACAACGGGTTAAATCTCTGCACTCTGGAGCTGCTGGCAGCCAGGGCTCCTTAGACCTCTCCTGACCCACATGCTGCTCCCCTCAGCAGTGTATTTCAGTCACTGGGGAGCCTGTTCTGCTCCCCACTCTGTCTCTGGTGAATCCTCACTGCCCCTATACCTCTGGCCTGTACCACAGTTCAGTATGCATAAATAAATAAATCTTAAAAAAAAAAAAAGATTTACTTTCTTTATGCATACAATACTGGGGTGTAGGCCAGAGGTGTGGGAGAGTGAGAAGATTCACCAGAGACAGAGTAGGGAGCAGAACAGGCAGATTGACTGAAATACACTGCTGAGGGGAACAGCGGCCCATGTGATCACCTCTGGGGCTGAGGATCGAACACCCACTGAAGTGGCTGAGGCTTGCTTGCAGTGCTGTGTCCTAACCTGCTGTGTCACCAAGGAGGGCCCAGAATATAAATCTTAAAAAAGAAAAAAAGTAAAATACAGGTTATTAGCCCCCACTCTGCACCTATTGAATCTGCCACTCTGGGAATGAGACCAACCAGCTGTGTTTTCCTAAGCCCTCAGGTGAGTTAGATGAGCGGTCAAGTGTGAGAAGCACTGTGTAGCCTGATGGGTAATGCTGATACAATTTAAACAAGTTTGTGCCTCCAAGCAATGTTTTTCTTTTCTTCAAGGATGTTTAGATAACCAACACTTTCCTTTTCCTGGCTAAAAAGTAAAAGGCAAGTTTGCAGAATTGAAATTAAGTCATAAGAGTTTTGAATAGACCTTAAAACCATCAAGATGTTTGATTGCATTATGATCAAATAATAAATGACCTTGTATTTTGAAAAACATACCTGTCCTGTTACCTAGAACATTTACTTTTGTCAAATAGTTCGCTTCTCAGTGAGATTTTACTTACTGAAAATTGTATTCAACCTGCTACAGGGGATTCAACTTATATATAGTAATTTTATTATAGAGTCTCACATTAAATCCTTAAAAAGATGTAGGAAATAATATATATAATCTGCTAATAAATGGCCATTATAGTGTGACTTTTAAACAACCCTGAATAATCCTGAAGTACTTATGGTCATTTTATTTTATCTTTAAGAAATGTCCAAACTTATATTTGATCAATTTTTTAACAATGTAGCTAGAAATATTAAGATATATGTACATTATTTAAAAGATTGACATCCAAATTCTTCATGGCCCCAATGATTAGCCTGTATTATAGATATCTTAATCTTAATCTTAATCTTAATCTTTACTGTTCTCAAGTCCAATTATTATTTTGTTAAAAGTCAGAAGTACAATAAGTATTTACCATTAGTGTTCTTTTAATTTACAAGTGTGCAATACCACAGTCCTTTTAAAGTCTGTAGATTTCATAAATCATTTGCATTCAACTTTTCTTTACCTGAAGTAGTATTTGGGGAGATAGTTTGAGAAAAATAGTCATATGATGAACAAGTATGTGAGTGATATGGTGCAGAGAAAGTCTGAATATTGAAAATATTTCTTCTATTTCTAAGTCTTCCCTTTTAATAATTTGCTGTTCTTCTTTATCAGAGAAGGCACATAATACTCTTCTAAAATGAAGACTATTTGAGAATCTATATTTTCTAGTTCTCTCAATGCCTTCTGAATAATTTTCCAAGTGATATCTACTACCATTCATTTGATTAATTTATCAATTCACTAACAACTTTGATTTTTCTTTGATCTTACAGCTTTCAGCTCCCTACTTATTAATCCCATTTATTTATAAATTATGAAAATTACCAGCATTTTAAGAAATCAGTATTATTCACATTGCAGATACACTCCTAAGAATTTACTTTCTATAATTCTTCCACATTTATTTTTTATCTAGAAAGGACCAAAGTAACTGTACATATAATCAGAAGTAATGTAAACATTACAGTTAATCTAAATCAGCCAATTCAGTGAATATCCATTACTGATTTCTTTTTTTTAAGAATTTTATTTATGCATACAAGAACTGGGGTACAAGCCAGAGTGTGGGGGTGGTGAGAGGATTCACTAGAGACAGAGTAAGGAGCAGAATGGGCAGATTGACTGAAATACACTGCTAAAGGGAAAAGGGGGTGGGTCAAGAGAGGTCTGCCATGCCATGTGGGTCGCCTCCCTGGTTGAAGATTGAACTTGTGCTGCAGTGGCGGCCAACAGCTCCAAAGCACTGTGCTTTAACCTGTTGCACCACCATTACTGATTTCTGTAGCAAGTGTAATTTGTTTTCCATTATCAAAACATCAACGTACTCTCCACATCATTAATAATTTTTAAGGAATTTCCAACTAAACTTTATTTCACAACCACTCTAGTCGCTAAGATAAAAGGAAAGAAACAGGGGCCCTCCCTGGTGGCGCAGTGGGTTGAAGCACTGCACTGAGAAGCTAAAGCCACTTCCACACGAGTTCGATTCCCGCCTGCCCCGGAGGTGACCACATGGCGCGGCAGACCTTTCCTGACCCGCCCGCTGCTCCCCTCAGCAGTGTACTTCATCCATCTGCCTGTTCTGCTCCCCCTCTGTCTCTGGTGAAGCCTCTCACCGTCCCTGAGCCTCTGGCCTGTACCCCAGTTCTGTATGTACAAATAAAATCTTAAAAAAAAAAAAAAAAGAAGAGAAACAGTTGTTGGAGAGATGTAGAGAAACATACATTGCTGTAGGTATATAAAATGGTGTAACCACTTTGGAAAACAGTTTAAGTTAAACATAAATTGCCCAAGAGAAGTGAAGACATATAGCCACATAAAGATTTGCTCTTAAGTATTCTTAGCAGAATACGTAGTATTTTATTCATAATAACCGCCATGTCCTTCAACTGGTAAATAGACTAAATGTGGTAAATATATAGAATGGATATTATTTCATAATAAAAATAAATACTTGAACTGATACATATGGATGAACCTTAAAAACATGCTAGGTGAAAAACAGCAAGACATGAGAAGTTACATGCTGTGTGGTTCTGTTTATATGAAATCTATTGAAAAGGCAAATCCACAGAAACAGATAAGCACTTAGGACAGTATTTAGTAACAGATATAAATAGTAGATAGGAATGCAAGAATAAATGGAGTAAGGAAAATGTTCCAAAACTGTTTTATGGTTTTGGTTATACAATTTAGTAAATTTCATAAAAATCACAAAATTGTGTACTTGAAGTGGGTGTGTTGTATATGTAAAGTGTATCTTAATAAGATTGTAAATAAATATATTATCAAATACAACTCAGCAGTATATCAAAAGGATAATACATTATGACCAGAAGGGTCTTTTTCCAGGAAAACAAGAATGCTGAGTATCAGGAAATCTGTCGAGGCAATCATGACAAGGTAAGTTATCAATAACTTAAGGAAGAAAAAGCCGTAACATTATATATCAGTAGAAATGTAAAAAGTATAAAAAAAGCATAGCTACTAATTCTAATTTTTAAGTTCTAAAGAAAAACAGGGGAAGAAGGAAACAAACTAAACAAACTGAATTTAGTAATATGGATTACTAAATGTTACAGCACTATTATCCTAAGCAGTTACTGTAATCATATCAATGATAATAGGCATAACAATTCAGACCAGAAACAAGGATTTCACCCTTTAACATTGCAATAATAAAATGAAAGTAATATCATTGACATACACATTAGGAAAAAATGACTACCCCTGTTTCGTGATGATTATGATTGCTTACATAACAACTAGAATTTAATAAGGAAATGTGGTAAAGAAGTAGATTACACTGCAAGTATGCAACAATTAATGGATTTTTCTCTCCTCCAACAAAGCCTATACAAAGTAGAAATTTGAATAACTGTTCCTAAGAGTAATAAAATATGTGGAAATGTTTAATAAAAGAAAGGCATACAACCTATATGAAGTTATGCAACAAATAGAAAGATTTGCTTAAACTATCATTTAAAAAAAGGTTAATTCTCATAAAATTTGTAAATGTAATATAGCTCCTATTCTAAATTCAGGGAATAGAATATCTTCATTTATTTGGAAAGTAAAAACTCAAAATAGCCAGGGAAACTCTGAAAATGAACAGTGAGGGTCAGCTTAGGTCATCAGAATATGTTATAAAGACAGAGTAAAAAGAAAACATAATAGACACATAAATCAGTGTACTAAATAATTAAAAAACACTTCACATATTCTGAGATATGTATCTGAGAATGCAATACATAGCCAAGTTATTTCAATTCAATTAGAAATGGAGATGTGCTGATACAGAACTGGAAGCCATCATGAAGAAAATAAAAATATTCCCCAATCCATACTCCATTTTGAAATTAACTTCACATGAATCAATAGCCTAAATGAAAGATTTTTAATAATAAATAAAACGATGAGGAGAATGATGGAAACTAAACACAAAAAGAAATGTATTCTTTTAAAAGTAGGGTGTAACCATATTTATACGTTTACATGAAATTACTTAAGTAGGAAAATAGAACAGTGAAACACAAAGGGTTTTAATTATTTTGGCATAAACAGCCCCATTTGGAATTCTCTGCTACATAAGAAATTATTATGCTTGCTGATGCTATTATTTGGTTTTTTTTTAAAAAAAGGTCAGATAAATGCAACCCTGTTAGTCCTTAGAATTACTCTTATTCAGGGCCCTCCTTGGTGGCACAACAGGTTAAAAGCACAGCACTATGAACTGTCTAAAGGCAGTGCAGCATTAGTTCAATCCCCAGCCAGGGAGGTGACCCACATGGTATGGCAGACCTCCCCTGTCTCGCCTGCTGCTTCCCTCGACAGTGTATATTAGTAGATCTGCCTGTTCTGTTCCCCATTCTGTCTCTGGTGAATTCTCTCACCCCTCACACCTCTGTCCTACACCTCAGTTTATATGTGTAAGTAAATAAATCTTTAAAACAACAACAAAAAAAAGATTTTAGGTTATGCCAGTTGTCCTCTTCAGCTTTTATTTTTCAATGAAATTTAAAGTATACATCTTATTAATATTCTATATGTTAACTAAAAATAGGTATCCAGACCTTTTTTTCAAAGATACGAGCTCATTTCTATTTGTAAACTATATGGTTTATTATTTTAACCTTCCTATTTTCTTGGTCTTTCAATATGCATAATCACTATTCTCTTCTAGTTCCTGGCAGATATGGAAAATAATGCACTTTTTCGAGATGATATAGAATGTCAGAAACTTATCATGGAAGCAATGAAATATCACTTATTACCAGAGAGACGACCCATGTTACAAAGTCCTCGGACAAAACCTAGAAAGTCAACTGTTGGTACATTATTTGCAGTTGGAGGGATGGATTCCACTAAAGGTATGAAAAATCTGTTGGTGATGGGAAGCCCACTGAGATGGGAAAAGGTATAAAATGATGTAAAAAATAAACTATTATATTAAAATTAAAAAATATTTTATTGGAGGAAGGAGGAAAAATCAAATGTTAATTAGTAACATGTGTAATCAAAGTATTCTTTAGAGACATGAGATGGCTGTTCCAGGACGAGGAAAATTAAAGATAAGCCCAGAACACCTAATGCCAGAAAGTAAAAACGCTCATGCCAAGAAGGATGGAGACAGGTTAGAAGACATAAGAAGTAGTTTGGCATTGCCCAAATCTGGGACAGTTTCAGCATAAACAATAATTGTTAAAGATTATAACCTGGGAAGTAAATAATTATTCATGAGTTCATCTAACTGTAAATAAAGAAGGGAGAAAGAATAAATACCCTCCATTTTGTGTGAGCCTTTAGTACCAGGATGGGATGCTGTTCAATTCAAGGATCCTTTAGTAAAGCCAATTAGTTCTCTCTTTTTTTTTTAAGGGGGCGAGGGGAGTCAGAGAGAAAGGAAAACTCTTCCTTACAGTAAAATGACAGTTAATAAATGTAGAAGCAAAGAGGGAATTAGAAAATTTACCATTTAGCAACTATTATAGTAGTCACTCATTCAGTCAAGAATCATCAATGAATGCTGAGACTAGTGGGTGAGAGTTTGAAAATAGGATAGTCTGTCTCAAAGTATCACCCAACCACTCGCTTAAAATTACAAAGTGTGAAATAATATCTTTGCATTGGGAAAACCTGCCATACCACACCTTAAGCAAGTAATTAAAGGTAGTCTTGCCAGTAATAAGACTACTGGAAGTTTGTGCCTCCCTTTGGCTGGCTGAGAACTCAGAAGCACACCAGAATACTTTACCAAAAGTGTACTACTTGAATTTAATCATTAAGCAAACACAAATACAAACTAAGAAACCATCTACAAAATAATGTGTCTGTCTGTCTGCAGTATTCCAGAATGTCTCTGTCATGAAATGCAAGAGACTCGGGGATTGCTCCAGGTTGTAAGAGACTAGAAACATGATGGCTGTTGTAATGTACCTTCTTGGGTTTTCTTTTCTTATAAATATATAATTAGGATAAAAGACAAAATTCAAATAAGGTCTGTAGATTATGTAACAGCGTTGTATAAATGTTCATGATTTTGATGATTACATTATGATTTATAATAAGAACTTCTTATTTTGAGGAAAATATAGAGACACCCTTAAGGGTCCGGGGGCATCATTTCTGAACTTACTATTAAGCCCTTCAGAAAAGTAGTCATACATACATAGAAGTCAGTGTAGTAAAACAGGTATTACTGTTTTAATACTTATTAATAGTAACAATGTTATTAATAGTAACAATGTAACAATACCACACAGAGTGCCTCTTCCTTGCTTCCTCCAGCTCTTCTCTGACTGTCTCCCAGACTTGATAATTTGGAATTCATTGTTTTTCAGTGGGTTTCATTAACTCTGGCTCATTTAAGTAGATAAAGAATTTATTGGAAGACTATTAGGAAATGCAGAGGCCATATCCACGATCCCTGCTTCTTTATAACATCTGTTATAGATTTTATATCCTTAGTGCAAGCATCCATTTAACTAGCTTTATATCAGTCCTGTGCCCTAAATTTCCAAGGACAAAACGAATTAATATGTCTTTTCTGTTTCCTGGGAAATGGAGTCTTGCCTCCCAAGGCTCATACATAAAATGAAAAGTCCCCAGACATGAGACAGGACCTCAGATAAGAAATACCCAAAGTGGCCCTCCCTGGTGGCACAGCAGGTTAGGACGCAGCACTGTAAGTGAGCCACAGCCACTTCAGTGTGAGCTCGAGTCCCAGCCCCAGAGGTGACCACATGGTGCAGCAGACCTCTCCTGTCTGACCCAGCAGTGTACTTTGTCGATCTGCCTGTTCTGCTCCCTGCTCTCTCACTGGTGAATCTCTCACTGCCCCTGCACCTCTGGCCTATACCACAGTTCTGTATGCATAAATAATTCCTAAAAAAGAAAGAAAGAAAGAAAGAAATACCCAAAGTACACACTCTTGATAGCTCTCTTAGTCTCTCTCCCTCCATCCAACTGCCCTCCTCCCACCCTCCTAGAATTCTGGCAGTCATGAGGTGTTCTTTCAAAGGGCTTATATTTTTGCAAATTTCCACTGCTACCTTAATTCTGGTTATCCTCCTACCAGTCTACATATTTTGATCATGTTGACTTACTGAGAATAGCATTCATTATGTTGTTAGGTGTGCTTGTCACTGTGCTAAGCTCTTGACCAATTATTTCATTTCATTTCATCTTGATAGCAGCTCAGAGCTGATTACTACTGCCTATTTTTATATATGAAGATACTGAGACTTAGAGAAGTTAGGTAACTTTCCCAGGATCATTCAACTAATTAGTGATGAAATTAGGATTCAAAAGCATTGGACCCTGGAGACTACCCTCTTCTTCATTACCATGCTACTACACTGCTTAGAAATCCCAGTAATCTTTATTTCTTGCCACATCAATGTAAATTCCTCTTTCTGGTTTTAGACTTTCTGTAAATCTGGCCTTTTTTTTTTTTTAAGATTTAATTTATGCATACAAGAACTGGGGTGTAGGCCAGAGGTGTGGGGGTGGGGAGGGGTGAGAGAATTCACCAGAGATAGAGTGGGCAGTAGAACAGGCAGATCTACTGAAATCCACTGCTGAGGGGAGCAGGAACAAGACAGGAGCGGTCTGCTGAGTCCTGCGGGTCAGCTCCCTGGCTGGGGGTCGAACTCATGCCACAGTGGCTGGGGATAGCTTGAGAGCACTGAGACTGTAACAAGGAGGCCCTTGTCCCTTGGTTCTTGACCAGTTTTATTTCTGATTTCTTTCTCAATAATTGAATACTCTGACCTATCGTTAGTCATCCTGTCTTTCTTAGCCTTAATTAATCTTATTTGCAATACCTTTATAATAAAAAAAAGGTTTGTACTAGTTGGATGGTATTCTGATCCTTGGGTTCTTAATTTCCTCATATACCCATGTCTTGTAGAGCCCAAGAAATAGGTGGTAATTGTTCTAAGTAGCCTTTATAAAATGTTTGCATGTATTTGTGCTTCTTTAAAGGTCAGTCCTTCAAAATAAATTAGGGAAGTTCCAAGTTTTTACAGAAAATTTTATAATTATTAGCATTTTGTTGTTTGGGAATTTTTTAACTTTTTTTTTTTTTAAGATTTACTTATTTATTCATGCAGAACTGGGGTACAAGCCAGAGGTGCAAGGACAATGAGAGGCTTCACCAGAGGCAGACTGGGGAGCAGAACAGGCTGATCAATGAAGTACACTGCTGAGGGGAGCAGCGGGCAGGTCAGGAGAGGTCTGCCTCGCCATGTGGGTCAGCTCGGGGCAGGGATCGAACTCACATTAAGGTGGCTGCCACCAGCTTGCAGGGCTGCGACCTAACCCATTGCACTATCAGGGAGGACCCTGGAAATATTTAACTTTTTTAAGATGTGCTTTACGAGTTTTGTTCAACATTAGCAAGAGAACTTTTAGTTATTATTTCATAAGATTATTACACTGCCTACTGAACCAGGTCTAAAATAAATAATTTCAAACCCAAACTTCAAAAATTCCTTAAATTTGGGGGCCTAAGGGTTAAGTCTCAGTGCTATCACCACTACTGCCTGAGTTTGATCCCCAGCCAGTGAGCAAATAAGATTAATTAAGGCTGGGAAAGATAGCTGGACTAGGATAGAAGGTCAGAGTATTCAATTATTGAGACTCAGAAGTTACGTTGGTCAATATTTCAATCAGTCTGCCTACTCTGTCTCTGGTGAATCCTCTCACCTCTCACACCTCTGGACTGTACCCCAGTAATATGCAAAATTAAATTTTAGAAAACTACAATAGGCCCTCCCTGGTGGCGCAGCGGGTTAAAGCACAGCACTAAGAAGCTTAAGCCACTTCCTTGTGAGTTCAATCCCTGCCTGCCCCAGGAGATCCACATGGCGAAGCAGACCTCTCCTGACCTGTCCGCTGCTCCCCTCAGCAGTGTACTTCGTAGATCTGCCTGTTCTGCTCCCCTCTCGTCTCTGCCGCGTCAGCACGACAGCAGAGATGGTCTGAGCGAGGGACGTCAGG